GTCACTCAAATTCAGGAAGATCTGGACTCTGATTGGGTAGATTCGGATGGGGTGACGGAGGGGGGTCTTGAGAATATTATCTGGGTCTTGAGAATATTATCCCAAAATATTATCTGGGAGAATATTATTTGACCTTGTGACTCCCAAGGATGTGGACAGGATTCTGGGTAGGCGTAGCACTGCCACATGTTTATTGGATCCGTGTCCCTCCTGGTTAGTGCTGGCCTCCCGGGAGGTTACACGAGGCTGGCTCCAGGGGATTATTAACGCTTCTTTGGGTGAGGGCTTCTTCCCCACCTCTTTGAAGGAGGCAGTGGTGAGGCCTCTCCTCAAGAAGCCTTCCCTGGACCCGGCTGTATTAGCGAATGATCGCCCAGTCTCCAACCTTCGCTTTGTGTGGTGGCGCGACAACTGCCCCAGTACCTGGATGAAGCTGATTATCTAGATCCATTCCAGTCGGGCTTCAGGCCAGGGCACAGCACAGAAACGGCATTGGTCGCATTGGTCGATGATCTCTGGAGGGCTTGGAACAGGGGCTGCTCCTCTGTCCTGGTCCTATTACATCTCTCAGCGGCTTTTGATACCATTGACCATGGTATCATGCTGCGACGATTGGAGGAGTTGGGAGTGGGGGGCACTGTGTTGCGGTGGTTCTCCTCCTTCCTCTCCGAATGTACACAGTTTGTATTGGCAGGGGGGCAGAGGTCGACTTCGAGACGCCTTGTTTGTGGGGTGCCGCAAGGGTCAGTCCTCTCGCCCCTTCTGTTCAACATTTATATGAAGCCGCTGGGCGAGATCATCCATGGTTTCGGAGTGAGATTCCACCAGTACGCTGATGACACTCAGCTGTACATCTCCACTCCGGGCCACCCCAATGATGCCCTTGAAGTGATGTCCCAGTGCCTGGAGGCCATGCAGATCTGGATGGGGAGGAACAAGCTCAAACTCAACCCTTCCAAGACCGAGTGGCTGTGGTTCCCGGCATCCCGGGGTCCATCGCTGACTATTGGGGGTGAGATCTTGGCCCCCTCAGAGAGGGCTCACAACTTGGGTGTTCTCCTGGATGCACGGCTGTCTCTGGAAGAGCATATGACGGCCGTGGCCAAGGGAGTCTTTTATCAGGTTCACCTGATACACCAGTTGCGTCCCTTTCTGGACTGGGATGCCCTGTGCACAGTCACTCATGCCCTCGTCACATCCCGTCTGGACTATTGCAATGCTCTCTACATGGGGCTCCCCTTGAAGAGCACTCGGAGGCTCCAGCTGGTCCAGAATGCGGCCGCGCGGGTGCCGCATGGGAGGGACATGGCGTCCCATGTAACACCTCTCCTGCATGAGGTGCACTGGCTCCCGGTGGTCTTCCGAGTGTGATTCAAGGTGTTGGTGACCACCTTTAAAGCGCTCCATGGCTTAGGACTGGGGTACTTACGAGACCGCCTTCTGTCACCAATAGCCTCCCACCGGCCAATACGCTCCCACAGAGAGGGGCTCCTAAGGGTGCCGTCGGCCAAACAATGTCGACTGGTGGCACCCAGGGGGAGAGCCTTCTCTGTGGGGGCACCGGCTCTCTGGAATGAGCTCCCTCTAGAGCTTCGTCTTAGCCCTGACCTGCGCACCTTTCGCTGCGCCCTGAAGTCCTTTCTGTTCCAGCAAGCCGGACTGGCCTAATATGAATTTTTAAGGGGTGTGCGTATGTTTTAAATGTTTTAAAATTTTGAGCCAAATTTTATATATTTGATTTTAATTGGTTTTAAATTTTGTAATTTTATGTGTTTTAATATGGCTGTACACCACCCTGAGTCCTTCAGGACAAGGGCAGTATAGAAGTCTAATTATAAATAAATAAATAAATAAATAAATAAATAAATAAATAAATAAATAAATAAATAAATAAATAAATAAATAAATAAATAAATAAATAAATGAATAAATGAATAAATAAATAAATAAATAAATAAATAAATAAATTAAAAAATAATAAATAAAAAAATACAAGTAGAAAAATCGGGACCACCTTTGGTGGGAAGGTAAAAGCATTCCATGAGCCTTTGGCGTTTAGTCATGCCGGCCACATGACCATGGAGACGTCTTCGGACAGCGCTGGCTCTTCGGCTTTGAAATGGAAATGAGCACTGCCCCCTAGAGTTGGGAATGACTAGCATGTATGTGCAAGGGGAATCTTTACCTTTACCTTTTCAGGCAATCAAAACTGATGGTGGGAGATTTGTACTTGCAAAGTTCTGTTGATCTGGCTTTACAATAAGGTAGAATTAGCTTATTAGGATGTGTTTTTTCTGTCAACTATCAGAGAGAAAATTAAATTGGCAACTTTCTTCTTGACAAATCCCTGCTTTCTTGTAATCACCCTGTTGTTTTCAGGGAGTGTATAAATAATCTCTTTGTTAATTTATTTGTGAGCTGCTCAAGAATGTTCCATATAATTGACAAACTTTGTCAATTATTTATTTTCTCAATCTATATTTTCTCAAAATGTGGTTGACCAACGTTGCTTAAACTTTTTTAACTTTTGAAGATAGTGGTAACACTTCCCCCCCACTCACCCCGACCAAGCATATTTGCAATTTAGATAACTATTGAAGAAAGATTCAAATGTTAAAAGACCACATGGGATAAAAAGAAAAAAAGAAGGGTTCTACTTTTAAAATATGGGAATGTATTCATTCCAGTTCCACCCCTTCCTTGAGAAGAATGAATTTTGGAATTTTTCCCATTTTAAACTCTACTTGGACCAAAATGGAGACCTAACAGCAGATCTGGACTTTCTATGCTTGTTGATTCTCTCCGAGAAGGATCCCATCCAACTAAAACTTGGGGGCGTTGAAAGACAGAGAGTAATTATCAGCCAAAATGGTCTGTCAAAGCTAAAGTCGCTCAACAAGGTAAGGAAAATATTGGAGACTTTTCTCTGGCTTCCAAAGCCCTAGAACCCATTTCATGTGGGCTAAACCTGGTCACCAAGATGGAGAATTGAATGTGGGGAGTGGTACTCTTCTAATTTTGTTAGGTGGCTTAGAAAGCTTCAGTGCTATTGACCAAGGTGTCCTTCAGATGCTCTAGTATGGAACACTGTTTTCAGCTGATCCAGCCATCTCCAACATGGGACGCTGGGTGACTAAATTTTATGACGTAGATCATGGCCCTTTTATCTCCCCTCTGCAATTTAGTATCCTGCTGAACAGAACTTTCCTTCTTCATCACTGCATTGTTCTACTTATTTTTTAAAAAAAATTCTAATAAAATAAAAATTAATAAACCTTCTAGAATAAATTTTATTATAGAATTTAATGGTTAGACCATCATCCTTGAAAATCATGGCAATAGGAAAAATGAAGGAATCCATAGGAGGAAGCCACTGGTTGTCTGTCACATTTAAGCGTTTAAATCTTTTCTCAGTTCCATCACTCCAGACTTTATCAGGTAGAAAATTTATTTATTTTATTTAATGAGATTTATATGCCGCCCTATCTCCAGCCGGACTCAGGGCGGCTCACAACAGTAAAAAACATCTAAGGAAAAAGTTTAAAAGAAATTAAATCCAAATCTCATAATTTAACACTAAAAGTGCAACTAAGACTAACAAGTTAAAAATTAAAACCCCATCAGTCCAGGCCAGCCAAACGAAACAGCCACATTTTCAGGTTGCGACGGAAAGAGTGGAGGTCGGGGGCCACCCGGAGCTCCAGGGGCACTTGATTCCAAAGGGTAGGTGCACCTACAGAAAAAGCTCTCCCCCTGGGGGTCACCAGCCGACATTGTCTGGCCGACGGCACCCTCAGGAGGCCCTCTCAGTGGGAACACACTGGGCGATGGGCAGCTGTTGGTGGCTGCAGATGGCCCCCCAAATATCCCGGGGCTAAGCCATATAGGGCCTTAGCCAGCACCTTGAATCTCACTTGGAGGGCAACCGGCAACCAATGCAAGTTGCGTAGGAGAGGTGTAACATGGGAGTGTCGAGATACTCCCATCACAACCCGCACGGCACCAGCTGAAGCCTCCAAGTGGTCTTCAAGGGCAGCCCCATGTAGAGGGGCGTTCCTATTTGGACCTAGATGCCCTACACACGGTTACTCATGCGCTTGTCACCTCCCGTATTGACTACTGCAATGCCCTCTACATGGGGCTGCCCTTGAAGACCACTCGGAGGCTTCAGCTGGTGCAGAATGCCCCCTGGTTACGGCCATTACATGATCTTCCAAGTTTAGCCGTGAGTCCAGGAGGACACCCAAGTTGCGCGCCCTGTCTACAGGGGGCAACACTTCATCCCCTATGACCAAAGATGGAATCTCTTGATTGGACCGAGATGCCGGTACCCACTCGGTCTTAGCAGGGTTGAACTGAAGCCTGTTCCTCCCCATCCAGCTCCGCTCCACTTCCAGGCACCGGGACATCACATCGAGGGCATCGCTGAGTTGGTTTGGGATGGATATAAAAAGCTGGGTATCATCAGCATACTGATGATACCTCATCCCAAAACCCCGGATGATCTCACCCAGCGGCTTCATATAGATATTGAACAAAAGAGGAGAGAGGACCAACCCCTGGAGTACCCCACAAGTGAGGGGCCTCAGGGCTGATCTCTGTCCCCCAGCCAACACCACATGCGAACGTTCCGAGAGGTAGGAGGAGAACCACCATAAAACAGTGCCTCCCACTCCCAACCCCTCGAGGCATCGTAGCAATATACCATGGTCGATGGTATCAAAAGCTGCCGAGAGATCTAATAGGACCAGGACAGAGGAGTAACGATTCCATTCTATAATATAGAATTATAGAATGGAATAGAATAATGGAATGGAATGGAATGGAATGGAATGGAATGGAATGGAATGGAATGGAATGGAATGGAATGGAATGGAATGGATTAGGTTGTCTGTCACTGATAGGGAGTGGGAAGTCAGGTGATATTTCATATTTTTTTAACCAAAGCCTAGATACTCCCCTAAGGCTTATGTCTACCTCCGTTTTCCATGGATGGTGAGTTCTGAGGTTTTACTTTTGGCATTCCTTCTTTTCTGCTCAGTCCCTGCCTCAGTCCAAATGTGTGGAAAGTTGTCATCCTGGATTTGTCAAGAGGGCTCGAGAAGGAGAGCCAGTTTGCTGCTATGACTGCGTTCCTTGTCCAGAGGGGACCTTCTCCACTCAGGAAGGTGGGTGATACCAAAGAAAAAAACAAGCTAGAGCATTTTCATGGAAGTCCAAGTTAAAAGTTTGAAGCTTGTTTATTTTCAAACTGCACAATTTCTTATCTAAGGGATGACAAACATGAAGGAGTGGCTGGGAACAGAGAGGAGGATTTGACAGATTGCACCAGCTTCACTACTCTCAGAGAAAATCTCTCTTCTGGTTTTCAGTTGGGAGGCATCCTTATAGTTTTTAACCTTTCTGGGAAGATCTGAGTTCTTTGAAACTTGAAGAATTATCTTGGGTCCATCTCCCAGAAGGATTATTGCAATTCATGGTCTATGGAGATTCTCAATCGTCCATTTTTGGGATTGCAATGCATTTTATATGGCTCCCCCCTTGAGGATCACGGAGAAGATGTTGCTGGTGCACAATGAGGTGGTGAGGACAGTTATGGGTCCATCTTATGACAAATAAATTATCGCTGCTCCCAGGATTCATTCTTGATTATTTGAAGGACTGGCTTTCCCTGCCAGCAAACTAGATTCCAAAAGTTAGCCTCTCCTGAGTCCTGTATATTAAGAAGTGCCATGTGGAGGATTCAGGAAGTGTGTCCAGAAAGAGTAACTGATTTATTATTTACCTGTAATAATGTAGGTTCCTATGAAGATTCTCCACATTACACAGGAAATCATTAATATCCTACGACATTCCCCAATTTAATAAACAATTAGAAATATTAATTTTTTTAGAAAATGATATTCTTTTTATGATCTTTCTGTGGAGATGGTAAGAAATGTATCTTGTCCCATGAATGTATTTCTTTGGAGGTAAAAGGATAGTATGTTAAAGAATTTTTGTTTTGTTTTCTCAGATACAGAAAAATGCACCAAGTGTCCGGATGATAAATATCCAAATGGGGATCAAGTCCAATGTATCCCCAAATTTATAACCTTCCTCTCTTATGAAGAACATCTGGGCAACATCCTGGTGTCATTTGCTCTATTCTTTTCCCTAACCACAGGCTTTGTCTTACTCATCTTCATTAAATACCGAGAAACTCCCCTTGTCAAAGCCAACAACCGGGACCTCTCCTACATCCTCCTGGTCTCCCTCCTGCTTTGCTTCTTGTCTAATTTTCTCTTCATTGGTCAACCAAGGAAAGCCACCTGCCTTCTCCGACAGACGCTTTTCAGCATCATCTTCTCAGTGGCCATTTCTTCTCTCTTGGCCAAAACCATCACGGTGGTGCTGGCCTTCCTTGCCACAAAACCAGGAAACCGAGTGAAGAGATGGTTGGGGAAGAGCTTGGCCAACTCCATCATCCTTTCTTCTTCTGCTCTCCAAATTATCATCTGCTCCATCTGGTTGGGAGTTTCTCCCCCCTTCCCTGACTCTGACCTCCACTCTCAGCCTGGAGAGATCGTCCTGCAATGCAACGAAGGGGCCGTTGTCATGTTCTACGTCACCCTCAGCTACATGGGCTTCCTGGCTGCCATCTGCTTCACGGTGGCTTTCCTGGCCAGGAACCTGCCTGGGGCCTTCAATGAAGCCAAGCTGATCACCTTCAGCATGCTGGTCTTCTGCAGTGTCTGGGTGACTTTTGTGCCCACCTACCTGAGCACCAAAGGGAAATACATGGTGGCTGTGCAGGTCTTCTCCATCTTGGCCTCCAGTGCTGGTCTGCTTGGTTGTGTCTTCATCCCCAAGTGCTACATTATTATTCTGAGGCCAGACCTGAATACAAAGGAGCAACTAACGACCAAAAGAAATGTAGCTATGTGAGTCAGAAGTATTTTGACTCTTAACATGTTCCAAAAGACCAAACCAAGAAAATGGTGCGAAATGATGATCATACGTATAAAAAATACAATAGATGTTGTAAGCACAAATATCCATAAATAACAATCCTCAGGTTACTTTCCCACCCATCTGCTGTTAGTATCCTCAAGAGTTATTGCCTTAATAAAAAGAAACACAATCAGTTGTTTTGCAGTAGCAGTTTTGATAAAATGTACTGAGAAGCAAGGAGTTCAGGGTCCCCAAAGCAGAACTTTCTCTTCTATGCTTCTGTCTTGCTAACAGGCTCTCACTCCTCCAACAACTAGCTTTCCTCACAGCTTTTCTCCCTTTTCACCTCTTGGAGGGCAAAATCCTGAAAGGACTGGATTTATCCGCTCAGTCTTCTGGAAACAATGTTTGAAAAGACCTTAATGCCAGGCAGAAGAGCTAGGCAATCTAGAGCCAAGTTTTACAACCAGACTGAGGGTTGTTGTGTAGCTCCTTGTGCCTGATCCTTTACATCTTGCATACTGCTTTTTTTGTCGTTTATTGACCCCATAATCCCTTGTGGGGTGGAGTCAGGGCAACTGAATGGAGCTGAGTGCTTACTGGCCCTTCCTGTTGCCAATGCAGAGTTCGCAGCAGATACATCCTCATTGTGCCCAGAGAGAGAAATATCTGCCTCTACCTAGGATCGAACTCACAGCCTCCTGATTGCTCCACCTATAGGCCACCACATACTGCTTTTACTTGCAAGGAATTGTCAGTAAGGTTGAAGCAACCCAAACCAGGAAATCCCTCACATCCATGGGCCATTTTGAACAGCATCAAGTCCATGGCCTGCCTGTTTTGCAAGATTGCTGTTCTTTGCTATTCCTGCTTCTCATTGAGGAGAGCTTTACCAAGCCTTATTTATGTTTTGTAACTGTTGAAGACAGATTTTTGGGGGGATGTAAAGGCAGTCATGGACTGCAAAGGTTGGTGGTGAGCCAATAATGGAAATAGTACCTGGGGAGTTCTGTGAGGTACCAGTTCTGTATACTCTCGTGAGCTTATGATGACTGTAGTTTTGGACAACTGGTGTTGCATGAAATGAGCTTAAAGGCCCAAATACACAAATGCACAAGGATCTTTGGAAAATATGAAATGGCATCATTTCCACACAGCAAATACAATCCCTCTAGTAGAGATAGGGTCTCATCACTGATCTTCAACTGTGTCTTCCATTGTTCCATCAATCTGGATCCGTTCCAGTCGGTTTCAGGCCTGGGTACAGCACGGAAATGGCATTGGTTGCATTGGTCAATGATCTCTGGAGGGCTCAGGACAGGGGTTGTTCCTCTGTCCTGGTCCTGTTAGATCTCTCAGCGGCTTTTGATACCATCAACCATAGTATCATGCTGCGCTGGCTGGAGGGGTTAGGAGTGGGGGGCACCATTATGCGGTGGTTCGCCTCCTTCCTCTCCGGCCGTACGCAGTCTGTGTTGGCAGGGGGGCAGAGGTCGACCCCAAGGTACCTAGTCTGTGGGGTGCCACAGGGGTCGGTCCCCTCACCCCTCCTGTTCAACATTTATGTGAAGCTGCTGGGCGAGATCATCCATGGCTTTGGGGTGTATTTCCATCAGTACGCTGATGACACTCAGCTGTACATTTCCACCCCGGGCCACCCCAATGATGCCCTTGAAGTGATGTCCCAGTGCCTGGAAGCTGTACGGATCTGGATGGAGAGGAACAAGCTCAGACTTAACCCTTCCAAGACCGAGTGTCAGCACTTCAACCTGCATTTACTCTAGTGCTGACATAAGAAGGAGAAGAGGGGCCAGCTGGCAAGAGGACACTTGACACTTCACCTACTTATTTTCATTGAAGATAATATCCCCTCGGAGATGAGAGGGAGGAGGGGCATTCTTGGGAGCTTAGGTAGTAGATATGGGGAGAGTGATTTGGAAGAAGGCCAATGATACGCAGAGATTTGGGGAACGGAAAGGGAGGGTTTGGGGTCAGGAAGCCAGAGCTGGCTACGCTACAATTGGGGCCAGATTGTTGTGCTTAATAAAATGAAAGATTTCTTCAAAGTCTATCTGTTTGGAAATGCAATTTATTTTATTTGAAGACGATATCAAAACCTGACAGATAGCCAGTTCTCCTTTCCAAGCCAAGCTGGCTCACCTCCAAACCTCCAGCTCCCTTCCAGATATATGGAGTGAATGGAGGCGCAGCCCTGACGTCATGGCAGAAAATAAGCTATCGGAAGAGAGCCTAATCCAGGCAACTGGAAAAGAGCCAGTTCTGATCCCAGCCAGCTTGGACGCTACGGGGCTTCAAGATATTACGGGGCCTCAACCCCCCCCCTCCTCCATCGAAGCTGCCAGACAGCCAAGATCAGACGATCGCTCCACAACCCAAGAAGAGAAAAGATAAGTATTTGGGGGTTTTGCCAAAAGCCGCAGAAGCTGAGTTTCCCCTCCATAGCATTCAGGGGAAGGGGAAACCCCTAAGTGAATTGGGGAGGGCAGACTGGCTATGGGACTGGCAGCAGGCCAGGCACCAAAAAGCTTCAGGAAAGCCACTCGAGAGCCCCATAGATGAATTGAAAGAGAAATTTGACTGTGCCATCCTTGGGGAGGAGGGGCCATCATGCAGGCCAAAGGAGAAGAGGGAACCCATCTGGGCTGATGAACTGAGAGGCTGTAGACTGAAGCACAGCCCTTCCCCCCGCCCCACAGCAGAAGGAGAAGAAGCCCAAAGATGCCTCCATGGGTTCCTCCCTTACACAGCAGCAGAGCAGTCTGGATAGGACATCACCTCCCCACCCTAGAATGAGAGATGAGGAAGACAACCAGCGGCACCAAGGCCAGGCTTACAGAGCCCCACACTGGGAGGAGAGGGCAGTGAGGGAGGACCCACCCCGTTTCAGAGGGAAGTTTGATGGCGATCCAGACCAGCTAGCCCAATTCCTCGACACAGCTGAGATCTACATCGAGTGCTAGGGACACCTCTACCCATTTCCCAGAGCCCTAGTGAGTGCCATTTCAGAAGGGTTGGAGGGAGAAGCAAGGAGGTGGTCAGCAGCCCTCTACAAGAACAGGGCCCCCCAACTGCAAGATGCAGATGGGTTCTTACAACTACTACGAGCCCGGTTCGAGGAGGCAGAGGAGGACCCCTATGTGGAGGAGGAGCTCAGGAACCTAATGCAGAACGGGAGGCCCATCAGAGAGCATATCCGTGAATTCAGGAGAGTCATTGGGACTTTACCTCCCTTACCAGAGCGACTACTGGTGTATTTCTTTAGAACAAGCCTAGACAACCGAATTGCCCAAGTGACTGCTTATCGGGACATCCCGAACTGGTTCTCCAAATGATTCCAAGTAGCGATAAAAGTTGACAGGGGTTGCGAACCAACGATATGTCAAAGCAACCAGATGGCAAGCAGAGGGGCCAACCGGACCAGGGACCACCCATTAGATGAGAAACCACAGCATCACAGCCCACCCAGAGGCCTGTCGTCCCACAGAGCCCACTGAGGTGCTACAGGTGTGGGGGATTGGTCACATGGCCGCAGCGTGTGGAATCCTGAGCCCGAGATCAGACCCACCACCCAAGGCACAACCGGAACGAGGGCCCAAGCGCGCCACCAATGCACCATGGAGAATCCCCCAGGGTCCAGAGGTTTTTGCCCACCTAACCGAAACCAGGGAGATCCCAGATGATGGAAATCAATCCCCTGAATCGTGTGACAGCGAGGACGAGCGTAAAGACGACCCAATGGTAAGTGGACCCATCCACCCTTTTCTTTTCCCTATACGCCTAACGGCCCCAAAAACAGGGACCCAAGGGACTTTCCAAGCCCTAATAGATTCGGGCTGTATGAGGTGCCTGATTAACCTACCCACAGTCCTAAAATTAGGGATCCAAGTCAAAAAGCTCAACCACCCAATTCGATTTGAACAAGTTGATGGGTCTTTAGTGGGGGGAACATACGCCACACACCTGACTGAACCAGTGAAGCTGGAGCTAGCGGATCACTGGGAAACCATCTGGTTCATAATAGCCCCCAAAATGACAGACCCAGTCATACTGGGACTCTCTTGGCTAGACAAATGGGGCCCCATCATCTGGTAGCAAGAGGGACCCCGCAGACTGAGGATAGCAAAGGGCCCCCAACCCCTGCCGCTCCAACCAGGTGAGATGCCCCCCACGCAGGGGCCCCAATTCCTCCCTCCGCAACAAGGGTCCCCCCCTAAGGGCATACCAGAGCACCTGGCGGCTGCATCCGACAACTCCCATGAGACAGAACAAATCCCAGAGGAGTACCAATACCTTGCAGAGGTGTTTAGCGAGGCTGAGTGTGATGTTCTGCCCCCCCCCACCATGAGGCCGATTGCGCCATCAAGATCATCCCTGGGGCGAAACTTCCTAAACCCAAACTGTATGCATGACACCCCGTGAAATGCAAGAAATGCAGAACTACATAGACAAGAACCTACAAAGGGGTTTCATTGAACCAGCCAAACCACGGATCGCGGCACCAGTCCTCTTCAAAGAGAAAAAAGACGGCTCTATGCGCCTGGTGGTTGATTTTAGAGATATCAACACTGTCTGCGTACACAACTTATATCCCCTTCCCCTCATGAAAGACTTGCTAGCTCACCTGGCCAAAGGGAAAGTTTTCACCAAACTAGACCTCCACGAAGCCTACTACCGGGTATGCATCAGGGAAGGAGATGAGTGGAAAACAGCATTCAACTGCCCCCTAGGGAGTTTCCAATTTAAGGTGATGCCATTTGGACTGCAGGGAGCCCCAGTTGTGTTTATTCAATTAATAAATGAGGTTCTACATGAGCACCTCTATAAGGGGGTCCTCGTCTACCTAGGTGACATTCACATTTACATGGAAACCATAGACGAACACATACCCCTTGTCCGCCAAGTGCTGGAAAAACTGCTGGGGGCGAACCTATATGTCAAACTATCAAAATGCGAGTTCCACCAGTCACAACTAGACTACTTAGGCTACCGAGTGTCGAACGAGGGGATAGAAATGGACCCAGCCAAAGTACAATCAGTTTTAAACTGGCAACCCCCTCGCACCCGCAGACAACTGCAAAGCTTCCTGGGGTTCACGAACTTCTACAGACAATTCATCTCCTCTTTTGCAAGAATTGCCAAACCTCTGATGGACCTCCTAAAAACAGGGAGTCC